AGCTACGATTCCAATGGCCAGTCAGTTACGATTCCCGTTGCCAGAAAGCTACGATTCCAATGGCCAGTCAGTTACGATTCCCGTTGCCAGAAAGCTACGATTCCAATGGCCAGTCAGTTACGATTCCCATTGCCAGAAAGTTACGTCTCCCATGGCCAGACAGTTACGATTCCTATGGACTGACAGTTCCACTTCCCGTGGCCAGACAGTTACGATTACCATGGACAGACAGTTCCACTTCCCGTGGCCAGACAGTTACGCTTCCCATTACCAGACAGTTACTATTCCAATTGTCAGACATTTACGACTGCCATTGTTGATTATTTTGCCAGTAACCGAATAGTGACTTTTGCATTAATACTGCGTCTGGTAAACGGCAATCGCAAATGATGCAAATTATGCATCACCCGACATCACAGATGTCGGGTGATTTATTTAAGGAATCTGTAATATTTAAATGTATAATTATTTCCCCATCAAATATACCGTGTATACGCAATAAAGTTTATCATCAAGATCAATAGCACGCACATGTTGAATAACTTACGGAACTAAATTCTACTGTGTATATGTGGCAATTTCATAACAGAACATCTTGTATCAATATGTAGGTAATTTCATGCTAAACATGACTACTTACATATTTGTAGGCTTCCTACATAATAGGTGGGACATAATCCGCTGATCCTGCAGAAGCTCCTGCACCTCATCTGGACGCACGCGCGGCACTTGGCGGGCTATGAGCAGCAGGACGCGCACGAGTTCTTCATTGCTGCTCTGGATGTGCTGCACCGACACTGTCAGGTGCCTGGGGTCTGCACTCGCGTCTTCTAGGCATAAAGTTACATGTACTGTTACTCTGTCTAATGACTTACGGTATTGTTATGCCTTTTATATCGGGAGATACCGTCAGGTGCCTGAGGTCTTCACTCGCATCTTCTAGGCATAAAGTTACCAGAACTTTTATACTACTTAGTGACTTATTGTTATGCTTTTTATGTGGAATACTGTCAGGTGCCTGGGTTTTGCACCCGCATCTTCTAGGCTTAAAGTAACAGAACTGTTTCGCCACTCAGTGACTTATTGTTATGCCCTTTAGAGGTAGATGCTGTCAGGTGCCTGGTTCTCCACTCGCATCTTCTGAGCGTTTAGTTCCCTCTAGTGTTTTGTCGTTAAGTGGCTTGTTATATTCTCTGAGTTCAACCAATTTTTAGTTACTCTGTTGTAATTTATACTTTTTATTCTGATGAATGAATAATTACTTGGGTAACTTTTAAAGATACATATAGATGGATATTTCCTACTGTCAAGTTGTCAGCCTCTTTCATTAGCAAGTGGTTTCAAAATATTAACCTCTCCTTTTGACAAGTAATTTAATACAGGGAAACCATATTCTCTATCGCAATTTGTTGCAATTTTGTTAACATTCCCAAAGTTATCATCTTGGCCATTTAAGCATCAAATTTAATAAGAGAAATTATTTGATTTCGTCTCTTTAGGTTCCATTCTTCCATTCATAAAAATAAAACTTTCTATACTTCTGATGGCAATAGTCAACAATGTAAATTAACTATAAAAAGTACGTGATTTAACTGATATCATGTAGCAATGATCAACAATATGGAGTAACCATAAAAAGTACATGAAATAACTTAATATTATTTAGCAATGATCAACAATGTAAAGTAACTATGAAAATAGTCCCTGAACAAACGGTAAATATTATTTTCAGGGCAATTCTCCAAGCAATGGTGATAGCAACCACTCCTGCTCGTGCATCATAGATCAGATCTTCACAGGCGGGCTGCAGTCTGACGTCGTATGTCAGGCATGCAAGTGAGTCTCAGCGAGATTTCCTGTTATTTATTTAGGTAGAAAGTTTATACAAATATTTATAACTTTTGACTGCGTGCATATAAAAAGTATTAATCAATTTTATCAGAGAATAACTCTTTATTCATATGGGATTTTCTTTTATTTTTTTCAAATATGCAAATTTCGTATTTTTTACTTACTTGTGAAAAATACTAATTGTTGTACTTACTTTTACTTATTTTTGAGTAGGATGCATTAGCAATACAAATTTGATCTTTTATATGGAATCCTGTTACTTATTCTCCTTCATTGAAGACTTTCATACTAATCCTACTCCTAAACATACTAATCTTTGTGTTTTTTGGGGTTATCGGTATCATTTTTTAATTTTATGTGCCAACGACCATCGATGTTATTTGATACTGACATGCCAGTGCTCCAACTTTGAAACGTCTGTCTACCAACAAATAATCTAGGTACTATAACAGTATAACTTAAGATACGATTAGTATTGTATTGAAATTGTTTATTATAGGTTAAGCTTGGTCGTTTGCTTCTATTTATTATTGCTTTTGTAACTTAGTAACCAAGTTTTATCGAGACATTATGTTTGCAGTGGAGTGTCAACAACCATAGACCCATTCTGGGACATTTCCTTGGACCTGGGACCGTGTCCATACAGCGGTAAGAGCAAGGGCGCAGCTGCTACGGCTCCCACGTCTCTCACCGACTGCCTGGACAGGTTTACCAGACCTGAACATTTAGGTAAGTTATTTCCTATGAGATCTGACAACCCTCGTCAGTCCTTTCTGGTCATATGCATATTACAGCAGTTTTTGTGTGGTGTACATAACTATGATCATCAACATGTTACTGCAATTTTTTGTGAGGTGTAAACTTTGCTGTCATATATATATTACAGCATTTTTGTGAGATGTAGGCAACTTTATGATCATAAATATATTAAGTACTGCATTTTTTGTGAGATGTAAACTTTCTGGTCATGTAAATAATACAGCATTTTTTGTGAGGTGTAGATAACTTTGATCATATGCATATTATAGCATTTTTTGCAAGGTACAAACAACTCTCTGATCATACCCTTCATTAATAATCCTTTTTTAATACTCAATGGCCTATTCTAAATAGAAACTGAAATAAATGAGTGTTGCTTGTTGCAGGGAGCAGCGCGAAGATTAAGTGCAGTGGCTGCCAGAGCTATCAAGAATCAACAAAGCAGCTGACAATGAAAAAACTTCCTGTTGTGTGCAGCTTTCATTTGAAAGTGAGTTCCTTTCAGGAATTTTTGCTAATATTATTTTGTAGTTTTTTAGCTGACATGTAATTATAACGTTGCAGTTATCTTTTAAAACTTGAGTCACATACAGCATTAAGTTGAAGGTGCATGTAAAGCACTATCTACTTGAATGTTCCCAAATTACGCATGATTTTTCAACTGAACATTTATGATATTTTGCATCTCCTGCCACAGCGGTTCGAGCACAGCAATCGTCTCCACAAGAAGATCTCAACTTTCATATCATTCCCTGAACACTTGGACATGACTCCGTACATGTCCAACAGACGAAACAATAACAACAATCATAATAACGGAGTAGCTCATAGAAATACTGATGTAAATAATAGGTAAGGATTGATAATAGGGTTGGTTTGTGTTTATAATTTTTATCATCGCTAAAAGAATATATACCATCGCCCCAAACTATCCAATTGAGTTAAGAAACATAGATCTTGTGTCATAGTATGACAGTTGGATTCTTGGACGAGCTGAATTTTCAATGAAGAGCGTGTTTTATGAAATCTGTATCCTCTGCTTGCTATAGGCCTTAATGCTATACAAGAAACTTTTATTCTGCTTACCATAAAATAACCTCGCTCTCCTCGTAACCTAACATGACGGTGTGTTCACAATTTGAAGCTGGCAATTTACACGTCTACATGTTAACATTTTCAACCTTTTATAATGGCAGACAATTAACTGTGTTACCGTGGTCACCAGGTACTCGCTGTTTGCTGTAGTGAACCATGTGGGCTCGCTGGACGCTGGTCACTACACGGCGTACGTCCGGCAGCACCGCGACCAATGGTACCAGTGCGACGACCACCTCATCACACGCGCTACCATCCAGGACGTGCTGCGCTCTGAAGGGTACGTCACTACGCCGTGTTGTAGCGTCACCCACCTTATTTATGCCGATAAGTCCCTTCATACCTGCATGCCAATAAGCCCTCTCCCACATGCATGCCAATATATAAGCCCCCTCCCACATGCATGCCAATAAGCCCCCTCCCACATGCATGCCTATAAGCGCCCTCTCATATGCATGCCGATCAATTCCATCCTTTTCATATACCCACTGCTCCCACACCAATAATCCTGATGAACATTTGATGTCTTGAAGTTTCTCGATATTTTTCAGGTATCCAAACACACGGCTAGCTGGAAGTGCTGGTCGATTTCCTTAAAATATCCATGATTATCAGTCACTTAATATTGTGTGTAATTAGTTGAGACAATTTTTTTTTTTCAGGTATCTCCTGTTCTACCACAAGCAAATCCTGGAGTACGAATGAGAAGTCATCCTTGGAGACTCCAATCTAGTTACCTTGAACCACATTCTTCTCGATAGTCAATTTCAGTGTCTGTACTGAAGGGAACGAAATTACGCCCTTTTAAAATAATTTGTTTGTTTTCTTCTATTATCGCTGGCTTGTGCACGACATCGTTGCATACGTGAAGAGAAAATAGGCGTAGTTATTATGCCCTCTAACGTTAGTGAGCTCTGGGCTAGTCTGTCTAACCCGAATGCGGTTCAGCGTTTTTCTGTACTGATTAAATGCTAATATTTATGAACCATTGGATTACCCAAACAAAGTTAATTTTTCTCTGTTGTGTCCTACGTTCGTTATGATTCTGAAATTTTGATCGGATTGTGTGAAAATAATTTTAATCAAATTATCGAGTTTGTGCCACACTGTGAGCACTTGATTGTTGCTATGTAGTCCTTGCAATGTACCTGCTTTATGTCGAGTAAAATTGTCCTGAATTTGTTTATTGTCACATTGTTAAGTTAGCTCCTTTGTTACTGTATAATTTCACGTGTCAATTTTCACGTTGATTTTCTCTGTTATTTCACTACCCGTGTCAGTCGGTGCATTTTTCTTTGTGTATTGTTTTGATGAAGCGATCAACGCTACAGGTTGTGTTCTCCGATTCATGTTTTTTTTTTTTGGGTAGCATTGGTGCTATTCTACTCAGTATTGGGTAATTCTAGGTTTACTGTGAGCCAGCCTCACTCACTGTACTGTGTGTTCCGTATCAATGAATGCTTGAGTGTACGGAACTGTGTTTGTGTGACCATTTAAGACAGCGGTTGTGATCCCGACTCTAATACTGTACGTGCTTTTCTCCTTTTATGGTCAATGTCGCGCTTTATGGCACTGGTAAATTAATTTCTATGTCTCGGGGTGAGCGTCTCCTAAAGTAACTTTAATAATAGTGTACATATAGGCGATGAGTCACAAGTACTGGTAAGAGTAGCTTGTAACTTTAATTATCATCAAACTTAACCAAAAACTCGGTAATCGTTTATGTTTTTGTGCTACTGATTCAAATGAGCCCTCGGCGTGATTCTGGTGATTGACGAAGATTAAGATTAGCATAGACTGTAGCTCTGGTTTTATATGAACGTGAGCTTCCTTGTGGAAGTCAGTAGATAAGCTCGTACGGTATAGCATTAATATTGTGTAGTCTAAGTAGCTCTGAATTAATGAATGGAGGAAATCTTGAGTGCTTGCATTTCCGCGTAGTATGGCTGTGTCAATTCATTGAGTCATTTCTTCCACACACTTCTTTCTGTATCAACTGAAGACATTTGAATAACGACTTAAAATTTCAACATTTGAGAGCGAGACGTGCATCATTATTTTTCGCCATCCTGAAGTTTTCGCTGGCTTCAATTCATTTGAAATTGTTGGTTTTGTCAATATTTCTGTTTTTTGGAAGACATTTTTGTTTGCGGGTAAATCAAAATCAATAATTCAGACCTATCTCGTGGTCATCGAGCAAATCTTAAGTGTTTATTCACCAGCATGGCGCAACTTTGAGACGTTTGTTCCGAAATCGTGAAATGAGGAAATGTCAATTTGCTATGTTGTAATAACGTGTAAGGCCTCGGCTGCCTCTTGTCTTCTGTGAAGATTTGAGGTTATATTTTGTTGACTTCTACAAGAATTTTTTCGAAGGTGATCATTCATTAGGAAGATTTGATACTTTCATGAATGTCAACCAATTCTTATCAATTCAGCATTGATATTCTTATGTGGAAATTTAGGTAAATTACCACTTGGAATTACCCTTGATGCGTCTTTGCTGTTCCAGTTATGAAGTTAGGTTTCCTGCCTTCTCACAGCACAAGGTTTTGCCTAACATATTCACAAGATCTACTTTATTAAAATCCGTCCTCTCTGTCGGAGCACTGACAGAATCTACGGCACATTCCGTATGCTATTTGCTGTTCTAATACGTCAAATTTTTAGCCCCGGAAAGATCAAGTATGTAGAGCTGATTAAAATCCTTTCCATGATTTAAATCCTTTCCGGTATATGCAAGTGTTACTACATCCTGAATATAGTATAGTTATGGATGTCAAGGTGGCAGTTCGCCGTTTACATTGCCGCTTATCTCAGATGTACAGCGCAAATGCTTGTATAACTACTTCTTTAATGCCGCGAAAGCATGAACAAGCCAAGATCAATTTCCAAGTGCCAGGTATTAACAACTTTAACGTATGGCAGTTTCGATTTCTAAATTGTGAATTTCTCCCTTTCAGTAAGTGTTCAGTGCATTTCTGAACCACATGCAGTGAGTAGGTAATCGTTATTAATATATCACGTACCATGTATACGTCACAGCGCCCCTTTAAGTTACACGAAATTTCGACGCCATTTCCATGTAACCTATCCTCCTCCTCTGATCTATTTATCTCGCTATTTTCATGTATCTGTATTTATGTACGTTCGATTCAGTGTTAATTTATGTGTGAATGATTAGCCATAATTGCTCTCTTGCCACTTAGCTTATCACGTACATATATTCTAGTAAACATCATCATTGAATGGACTAAGAACGTGCAAGTTTAGGTAGTTCTAGCGGTCGAAGCCTGTCGATTTAGTTGCGGCAGTTTCGCGCTGTCGAAGTCTAACTGTCGATTCAGGTACGCGATTACTGTCTGTTGTCTGACTGCTTATCTGTCTGGGGCAGCGCCATGCGGTTGCCGTCTGTCTGTTTGGGTGCAGTAGCGTTGCTTGGTTGACGTCTGTCTGTTTGGATGCGGTAGCGTCGCAATTTTGCCGTCTGTTGTCTCGGTGCGGTAATGTCGTGAATTTGCCGTCTGTCTGTCTGGGTGCGGTAGCGTCGCGCGGCTGCCGTCTGTCTGTCTCGGTGCTGTAGTGTTTCGCGGCTGTCGTCTGTCTGTCTGTCTGTCTGGGTGCGGTAGCGTCGCGCGACTGCCGTCTGTCTGTCTGAGTGCGGTAGCGTCTTGCGGCTACTGTCTGTCTGTTAGGTGCGGTTGCCGTCTATTTGTCAGGGGCAGCGCCGTGCGGGTGCCGCCTAACTATCTGTGATAACGAAAGGACGGCTGTGTCCACAGGAGACGACCAAGCTTCTTCCAACTGGCACCGCGTCTCTATAATTTTCCTCAATGTTTTCAAGATTGCTTTTCCAATATTTCTTCCATCAAATATCGTGAATGTTATTATGAACTAGAATTTCATCCGATTTGTTTTTTTTTTTTTTGGGTGGTAGGTACTAATGTTTCATGAGCAAGGTGATCGTTGTTATTCCATGATTTAGGTTTATTTTGTATTTGTTTTACGAAACTTGAATTTCAATACTTAAGAACAAACAAATTTTTTTTCGTAGTTGATTTCATTTAACTTGTGGGTTTTTTTTTCATTATACAGCCGGATTCTGGGGTCGTCTGGTTTGTTTGTTCTTTTCCAGTGCGGTGACTGACGAATCAACTTCATTTGTGTCTTTCATGACTACCAGGAAGTCGCTCTAGTGAGAGGTTTAAGGACTTCAACTAAGGTCTCGCCTCATCATCTTTGTGTAGCTAGGATATTTAGGGCGCTTTAAATAGACGCTTTAGGTTCTGTATTGCACGGTACCTACAGATTTATTTTTGGCCTTAGGCGCCTAAAATTTAGCCTTGTTAAAATTAGCTCTGGATAAGCCATTTAAGCTAGTGATTGTAGCCGGAGAAAAATGGACGTGTAGAGTGCTGAATACTTTTTGTTAGGGATAACAAAAATGTTATTGTCCGAAATCATATTGCCTTGAAATGTTACCTACAAGTTGAAATAAAGCCACTCTCGGTTTCTGTGCTGGCGCTATGCTATATGAACGTATTTTTTTTTTGCTACTTCCGAATTATTTCTTTTTGAGACCAATATTCTAACTAACGTGATCCTGCTACCATTCGATGCTCCTGAATATTCATTTTCTAACGGGTCTTATCTCGATCATGCCGCTTAATAAATTTGACTGTTAACATTTGTATATCCCTGTACAATTACTCTCCTGATTCTACTTATTGCTGAAGTTTATTAAGCATTTGTAGCCCACTGATTGAATTAACCGTGTAATTGTGTAGTATATCTTGCGTCCATTAAAGTATTGAATGACACCCCCTGGAGCATACGATGGCTTAGGATAACATTACTAATCTGAATCTATCCTCAAGGCATCGTGCATATCGAAGTTTGTAGCATTTCCTTGGCAGAGATTGGGGAAGCTTGTTTTAGGGAATAATGACTTTTCATTCTGGTCTTGGTTTGAGACTTGAAATTTACTCGAAAATTGCTGCTGCTGTCGCCAGTTGGGAGGGTCGAGCTCGTCTCCTTCATGTAGCTCAGTCTAGTAATAATCATGTACGTGATTGTTCTTTATTATCCCTACAATTATTTGTGTTAGTTAACCCGGTACAACGGTTTTTGTTTAATATTTTATCCAGTGATGAATTTCGTCAAATTCGCCATAGGTTTAGTGTTCGTCACACAAATATCTTCTTTTAAAATTGACTGGATAAGAAATCCCCTACAACCATTGATTATTTATTGAAAGGAAAGAGGAATCGTTTTGATGAACTCCTACTTATTCTTGTTTGTTTTTTAATGTTCTAATGGTTGAAGGGGCTTTCTGCGAGATTGACAATAAACTGTATTAACGAATTATCAAGAAGGAATAGGAAAATTTGTCGTTTCTACTTGAAATTAAAGGAAAAGTATGCAGTTAATTATAATAATTATTCATCTTTGGTAGCGGATTTAGGTAGATAACACCGTGCTTGAAATCTGTTGAATATTTTTTTATCAGTATTATAATTTACCAAGCTAAACGCATTGATTAGGTCAGCAATCTATGCATGAGATAACCTCCAAATGCAATGAAAAGAAATCGGGAAATAAACTTAACAATGCGAATACATAATCAGCAATAATATATTGCTGAGGTGAAATGCTCCTAACTAAAGAAAGCGTTATCTCAACCAGATTATAATGTAGACTAAAAGCTACGTAATAAACCGTCTAAAACTTGAACAGCGAGTTGACCTGCGACTGTTGGTGGCAACGCTAATGCCTGTAAGTGACTAGAAACATTCAACACGAAGGAGATAATGTTTCGTTTCATAATCGAAATTTAATCCAATTCCGATTAGTGGCAATGAGAGCCGTATTATAGACTACTGATTGTAGCCTATTAATAAATTGAATATGAATGAATTACTTGCTCTAGACGTGCCTCCTAACCGACCATTATTGATCTTTTATTGACATCATGACAAAACAATTTAAGTGGTAACTTCTCGTCTTAAAATTCCTGTTATAAATAATAGATTAATGACCCAAAGTACGAAATGCGAATAAGTAATCAAAGTCTCCTGCGAATAAGTAATCGCAAATATCAAATTGCGCGGTTACCTCATAAGTTATTAACACGGTAACTACGTATTTTAACCTTAGAATATAATAAAGACTTATTATTCATGCATTGAATGTTTCAAATTCTGCCTCCCAATTAATTGTTTTTACGACAATAAATCATGATTTTGGTCTTTGATATTCGCGGATCCGCGACATCTTTGGCCATGGAAATTGATCACGTCACGTACAGCATGTAACCTGCGATATTTCTACGACATTCACGGGGAACATTTAGAAACAGGCTTAGTTATAGGTATAAAATCCTTAATTATGATCGAATTAGAGACTCATTTAAAAGCCGTTGAATACTGAATCAAGAAGGTAGTTATTATAATGATAATAATAAATTTTGGTCAATTAACAATGACCACTAGTTGTATGGGCAGGTACTCACAAAATCTAAAGGCCTGTAACACCTCAACAAAAGAAATTCACACGTGAAAGGTAAACACTGTGATGAATAGAATTTCTCACACCATTCATTGTCTATGTTCACTAAAGAATGCTCACTGTGTTTTTCTGATGCTTTTTCAGGATCAACATATGATTTAAGATTTTTTATATTTGTAATGTAATTTATCTTTCGTGAAGAGCAACGAGTAATTTGTCCCACGCTTGTTTAAACAAGTCGAGTTTTCGAGTTTATTGAAGGCCCTCGCAAGTGCTGCTGTAAATAACTGGGATATGCCTATAGATTTCCCATGACATTGAAGCACTACGACAATATTACACAAATTACCAACGGTAACACTGAGAACAATGAGCGTAATATTGGAGGATAAATAGATCTATGTTAAAATTTCTATAACGTGACAGCTTAACACTAAAAACTGGTGATCTCTCAGGTTGCAAGTCGCCTCGAACATTAGCCAGTCTTTTATTAACTCGACGTTCTTCCATGTTTCGGCTTGAAATTGATAACCGAAACACACCACAACCTCAATTTCAAGTTGCTAAATCTAATCTTTATGGTCGATCTTTTTTTCTGACGAAAACTTTGTTTCTTCATGTACGACATTTCACATTTCTAGTGCTATTTGGACCTAAAAAGATCGGATAGCTTCGATCAATCACGCGTTTTCTTCTCCTCAAGTCATTAATTAATACTAATATCAACAAATTTTATGCATTACCTTCCTTTTCGTTCAAATAATCGCCAGTTGCAAAGTCATTGTCCCAAAAACATAGACGCCATTAGCCGATCTCGTCACCACAGCCCACGTCTGTCCAAGATTTGGTTGTACCAACTACCAATCATGCAAATATTAATTTTAGTTAACTGAACAGCCAATTCATTTAAAACCATAACGATTCAATTATAACATGGTCGCAACAACGTGTATCTTTCAGCAGCCGTACACGTCAACAACGATATCAACTCGTCGAGAACTCGATTTACTACTCGTCTAAAACTTTCTTACTCACCGAGGACCTACTTAATTTATCAATAAGTTTGTTTACCAGTCTGGGGCTTGATTTATTCGTCACAAACGCCTTTTACTCGTCTAGGACCGTGTACTCAACAATGGCCTTGCCAGTGAATTCAGCGACGGTGAAGTGATTAGGCGTCTGCACCAGCGGAGCAAACTCTTCGCGTTCCTCAGGAGTGTCGACCGAACGTTCGAAGCGAATAGCTGCCGGGTAGGAGCTTCAATGAATACACGTTCTCTTGAGATCGTCGAAAAGAAAGTTCGGTTTCAACTAGGTTGACTACTTCTCATACTTACAAACAAACACCAGGAAACAAATTATAACTTTTATGTGTATTACAGATAAATATAAATTATTACAGTTAGGTACTCACTCTTTACATGTACGCGTTTCTCGAGGCGATATGTGGTGTAGTCGTGGCAGGCGGAGGTGATGTAGGGCCCCGTGGACGACAGGTCTCGCAGGGGCGGCCTCACCACACGTAGCATCTCCCTCACCACAGCCATGTTGCCCTCGTAGAAGCCTGGCAGAAGCATACTCAAAGGTACACTCATCCTAATGAGTATAAGACTTTGTCCAAATGCAATTTTTGCCCTTGTATGGATCAGGCTGACCCAATATATGAGGCCCAGCAAAAGGGCGTATCGGTGCTATATTCATAATCTACTCGTATTGAGGTTAAGGAAACGTGTCACTATTTTTATAATATATCCCATTCATTGTTCTGAGTGTAGTAGCGTTATCAAAAAATACCTTCATCAGGCATCGTTCAACTCGCCTGAACCGGAATCATGACGCGCGTCGAGCTCATGGCCACAGCGCGGTTTTTTCTGAGAAATCTTATACGCTCCTTGTACCAAGAAATTATATTGAACCATCATAGTTTTCTGTGACACAAAGCTCATATGGAACCATAAGTTCAATTTGTTGAATTTGATAGAATTAAAATGTGGTAAAAAATTTGTTGAGGGTTATGTTATCACATTTTAATGCGTTAGGAGTCAATGTAAAGAAGGAAACCATTGCATACCCACCTTGCTTCATGCGCCGGATGATCGCGAAGGTGTCGCCCGGGGTGGACACAAGAAGATGGTCCAGAGGGAAGACGAAGCACCGCTTCCCGTCCTCGTCGACGATGGCCGTCAGGTTCTGAGGGGTTAGTGACCTCACAGTTACGATGCTTATCGCCACAATTGTGATTCCAATGGCCAGTCAGTTACGATTCCCGTTGCCAGAAAGTTACGTCTCCCATGACCAGACAGTTACGATTCCCATTGCCAGAAAGTTACGTCTCCCATGGCCAGACAGTTACGTCTCCCATGGACTGACAGTTCCACTTCCCGTGGCCAGACAGCTACGATTCCAATGGCCAGTCAGTTACGATTCCCGTTGCCAGAAAGCTACGATTCCAATGGCCAGTCAGTTACGATTCCCGTTGCCAGAAAGCTTTCTAGGCATAAAGTTACCAGAAATTTTAAACTACTTAGTGACTTATTGTTATGCTTCTTATGTGGGATACTGTCAGATGCCTGGGGTCTGCACCCGCATCTTTTAGGCATAAAGTAACAAGAACTGTTTCGCCGCCTAGTGGCTTATTGTTATGCCTTTTAAATGGGAAATGTCAGATGCATGTAGTTTTCACCCGCATCTTCTGAACGCCTAGTTCCCTCAAGTGTTCAGTCATTACGTGGCTGGTTATGATACTATGAAAGTAATATGCACTAGCACTGGGCACTTAGTTGCCTTGACTGATTCGCCCTTTATTGTAATGTTGGTATGCCTTTCAAAAGATCTATGTCTCGACGCTAATAGGTGTGTGAGGTCTCCACTCAAACTTTCTGCTCACTTAGTTTATTGAAGTGTCAATTTCTCGTGTCCATAATTTCTATTCTATTGTATCTCAAACACTTGAACTTAAAACTCTCACTTTAATGTTAGTGGGGAATTCTCTCAGTTTTTTGTAACTCTTGTACTATTCAATACTTTGTATTGTGACAAATGGATCATTACTTAGCAACTTTTAAAGTTTAAATTTTATCAGAGAATAACCTTTTATTCATACGGGATTTTCTTGTAATATTTTCATATAGATGAATATTTTTTACAGGCAAGTTATCAGCCACTTTCGCTTGCAGGTGGTTTTAAAATATTAGCCTCTCATTTTGACAAGTAATTTAATTCGAGGAAACCCTATTCTCTATCGCTATTTATTGCAATTTTGTTCGCATTCCCGGTTATTATCTTGGTAATTTAAGCATCCAATTTCATAAGAGAAATTATTTAATTTTGTCTCATAAGTTCCAGTCATAAAAATCAAACTTATGATTCTCCTGATAGAAATGATCAACAATGTAAAGTAACTATAAAATAATATGCGTTTAAAAATTACTTTTTAAAGACAACACTTCTGGACAATCCAGTGTCTTTGATGTTACACATGTACAATGAATTTCTAATTTTATTTTCAAATATTCATTTGTAGCATCCAAGACACTGGATTGTTCAGAAGAGTTGTCTTTTAAAAGTAATTTTTAAACGCATGTTATTAATATTGAACTTTTTTTTTTATTTTTAAAATAATTTATTCTGTCAATTGATTCATGCATTGTCTCCGACTTTACGCAAGTGTGCCGAATTTCAGATAGATTGGACAGGTAAAAGTGTGTAAAATATCAGATATAAGATTTGTAGCTGACAAAATTATTTTTTCAATTTTTTTAATATTGAAAAAAAATTTTTTTTTAATTTTTGGGAGGATGCAGAGCTTGAGTTCTACAAGGAGGCGTACCCTATGCCCCCACACGAGATCGGCTACTCACAGCACCTGGCCACACTGCTGCCCTCTACTCGATATGGTCAGTACATGGTCATTTAACTTTTTTTTGCACAACATATACACATTTACTTTATGTCTACATTTTTTATTCTGAATCAACTTATGTTCACCTTGCTTACGTATGACTTGTTAATAGTGTGCGTGTCATATTCACCGTGGAACACATCATGTTCATTGTGCTCACGGCATATTCACTGTGACATGCGTCATATTCACCATTCTTGCATCATGTTCACTGTTCTTGCATCATATTCACTGTTCTCTCGCTCATGTTCACCATTCTCGCATCATGTTCACTGTGACACACATTATATTCACCATTCTCGCATCATGTTCACCATTCTTGCATCATGTTCACTGTGACACACATTATATTCACCACTCTCACATCATGTTCACCATTCTTGCATCATGTTCACTGTTCTGACGTTAAAACAACGTTGATTAAACGTTGAATCAACTCACAAGTGCTGCATATGTTATCAGTAACTTATGTCATTATATAACGATAATCAAGCACATCTGACCAGTTTGTAGTCATGGACGAACTTGCCCTCCCTGCCGATGCCGAAGTCAGGAACGTAGATGTACTCGTAGGAGTCGCTGCCGAGGTCCAGGTCGAAGCGCTGGCTGAACAACCCGTCCGCGTCGCGCGGCCAATGACGAGACGCAGGCTGCTGCTGCTCACACAAATCAAATTTCTTATTTATTCAACAGTTATATAATGTTATCCAATTACGATAAATTATATCCGACGGTAATTTTATCTTCATATAAGCAAAAGAGTGTTAAGTCAAATGGGCGGTAAATGACTGATGAATATGAGCATGAGGAGCTCAGCTAAAAGAACGGTAAGCAGCTGAGCTGGTTGGGCTGAAAAAGGCTGGAGATGTAGCAAGCAACACGTTGGAAAGTCTTAGTGAAAATGTAAGCTCGATGGACAGTAATATGCTAAGCTCGATGGACAGTAATATGCTAAGCTCGATGGACAGTAATATGCTAAGCACGATGGACAGTAACATGCTAAGCTCGATGGACAGTAACATGCTAAGCTCGATGGACAGTAACACGCTAAGCTCACTAGGTGGTGCTGGTGCATGGGCTGCGGCAGAGCTCTGAGGCGCGTGTGGTTGAATGGAACGCCGCACCAGCCGTGGAAGCGGGCCACCTGCGTACCAATGATACCAATGTATCAAATTATATATAATGATACCAATGATTGTAATGTATCAAATTATATGTAATGGTACCAATAATTCTTCAGCCATTATTACATTATAATGAATGTTATTGATTTGCTGTATAATGAATGAGTGTCTCTTTTATGATTTATACAAACGAATGTTATTGAAATTGCTTCGGTAAAGTGGTGTGTCATTCAACTCATGAATTAAAGAATATAATAACCTATCAGATAAGACATCACTTACGAAGTGTTACAGATGTAAGCAGGTAACAGCCATTTCCATCTCTTCGTTTAAATAACGTTAATAAAACGTTGTTTCAATATCATTCGCCTGCAGGGATGATGTTAACCTTGTTCTGCGTGAGGTGACGATGATGACGATGATATTCGCCTTGTTCTGCGTGAGGTGACGATGATGACGATGATGCTCGCCTTGTTCTGCGTCTCACCTTGTTCTGCGTGAGGTGACGATGATGACGATGATACTCGCCTTGTTCTGCGTGAGGTGACGATGCACGCACACCCCACCGATGATGATCCCCGCTAGGGTGACGAGGGCGCCGACGAAGAGGCACACGGTCGTCGTGACAGACACACGACGGTGGCGACGTGCGCTCACGCTGCTCCACGACCACAGCTCCTCCTGCCGTGTACGGCCACAGACACGGCGTTAATACGGTAATGTAGTGATAGTGATTCTACAATGTATATACTGGTAATTAAATGTAATAATAATGATTTACATGTATATACTGGTAAACCAATGCATTGATAATAAGTTTGCATATTTACCAGTATATGCGTATACTGGTAAATCAATGCATTCATAATAAGTTTACAACGCAATGGGAAATCAATGTATTGATAATTAATTTACCATGTATATACTGGTTAATCAGTGCATTGATAATAAGTTTACAATGCATATGCTGGTAGAACAATGTTTTGATAATGATTTTACAATGCATTTAATAACTAATTGATGTAAATATCGATTAAAAATTTGCAGTGCATTTACTGGTATTTTAATCTAGTGCCTCTATATTGGTAAACTAGAATAGATTCACTCGTAATGTTAGTTAATTATAGCAAAAGTTGTATGCAAATAATGAGTGCGTCGCGAATTATTTACAAAATAGCAAGATTTTACATAATAATTTTAATATAAATTCAAAATTAAACGATACACGGATATCCAGGATGGCAAGAAGATCAAAATCGATACGAAAAAATTAATTCGTAAAAAGGAAGCAGGAGCCATTCTGAAATCTATAACCTGTAGCCCCTTCCGGCTAAAACACTAAATGTGCTCCCAAAATTATATTTCTCGAACAAGCAACATGGTAATGAGAGGACGGTCAGGTTTAAAGCTGAAACCTGGAATAGTTCAATCACTCAGTCCCAGCAATTCAAAAGAATAAATAAAAACTACCATTCAAACTGTCGTGCAGTGGAATCACTCAGTCGAAGCAATCCAAAATCATAACTACAAACAACGATTCAACTTGTTATTTTCATTCGTTTTTGCAACACGTCAGGACTTGCCTCGTCTGGCCGGCCGGGTGGCGGCTGTAGGAGGTCTCCGTTGAGACGTTCGCTACCGGCCTCCAGGCACTCGGAAACCTGGAACAATGAACGCTTATTAAAATGTGACAAAAACTATCACTTGAAATCAATATGTACGAAATTTAACAATGGAATTACATCTAGCATTCAAAAAGTAAAATCGCACAGTGCAGACAGTAATGGCCAGTAATACTCAACCGTTGCAATACTGACCAACTTTTGAATGTTATGTCCTCGAGTAAGTATCAACACAATTCAAATACGATAAGAAATGCAAATTGAAGCTGATTTCACAGACATATTATGTAAGATTAAATACTGCAATTAATTACTTAAAATAACTTGTATATAGCATTAGTGGCTGAATTCATTTATTTAGGCGAGGCCATGGACACTGGAATTGATTTTCGTGCAATTGCCGCATTCCATTCGTCCAAAATGATAGCCATATCTACATTTCCATTAACAGTGTTGTGACGACCGTCGCTATTAATTACAAAAGATGACAACCGCTTTATTTATGACATCCTCTCATTCTTAGATGCAGTGTCGATATATCACTCCCCTTAGTCATTTAATGGAAACAAAAGTTTTGTTTCCATGATGAATAATTAAAGTTTAATTTGAACGCAAATAACTCTCAATTGAGAGTTGAAAATTAAGTATACGAAAATATTTTGCGCCTCGAAAACGATCCGTTTATAGGGAGAATGCTTACCTAGAACATCCTCCACTAATTGCAATAGCGGGAACATAAGAGATAAAAAAAATTTCATGGTTCTATGAACAGGTCTTCTTGTACGATAATCAGAAAACCGTCAACAATTAAATAACGAATTTTGTTCTCACCTCGATATCAACAGCCCCAAGATGACGAATGAATTCGTATTCTTCACAAGTTGTGAAGAATAATAAAGTTCACATGACGGTACCAATTCAGAGCATTACTGTACATTGACGAAACCTTGGTACATTGCGGTAAACTTGTGAAAAGCGTACAATACAATGAATACCTACATCGATACATTCGTGAACACGGTGCATGTGAATGTAAATTCATTGTAAATTTGAATCTAATTGAATGTAAATTCAATCATGATACATGACTAAAGTTTTTATTGGAACGCAAATAGCTCTAAATCGAGAGTTGAAAAGCGAGTCAACATAATCTGATTGAATGTAAATTCAATCACAATGTGAATCACTCGCATGTTCGTGACATGACACTTAAACAGTCAGCGGAATACGAGTATGCCAGCCACGTTCATTGCGTCACATATACTATACGGTAGTTTGTTTTTGCAAACCTGCTTACAATTTCAGCGATCTGCGCTGCCGGAAAGATATCAGAAGAATTCCCTGAAAACCTGCAATTTGCAATAAATTTACAATCAATTTTAGAAAAAAATCGCATAGCATATGAAATTCATATTCATTAAAGGATTGTGCTCAGACATACTCTGCCCAACGCTACACTTTGCCCTGAAGATCTAATAACTATCGTAAGTGGTCATTCGTCCAATCAGACCAAACCTTAGCGGCTTTTCAGCAGTTACGAACTTTAGCTCAGAATAATTTATTAACCATCAAATCACCTAAGTGAGCGAACGATGTCATGGTTTCGTTTCTAATTATTTATGTAAAGTGACACAACACTGGGCACGAGTCAATACCTTACAATAATCTAAGAGTAATGTTGAGTGTTAGAACTATTCATTGTACAAATAATGCTATATCATAGATCCGTATTCACTCAATGGAATATGAACTCGCATAATTGACCGAGCATCAATAAAAATTTTCAATCATATTTTCCGCGTAGTAAAGCGAAACGAATGGAAAACCTCTTCCCTTCCTTCAATGAAACATAAGTCGCCATTCAGCATCTACAGCACTTTACATGCCGCTCGTCACTAAAAACCTCATGATACTCGGCAATCGGCATATTATTACCATTTGTGCATGCGATTTATAGGGTTCGATCACCACAAAATAACTAATAAGCTTTGTAGATTGCGCAGGAAAATTATGGCTCAGTTGAGATTACAAAATAGATTGTTTCTACTAAAGGCCAGCTATATCAGTGCTGTGGCGACATTAGTGGCATTGACGGTAGCTGCAGAGATATATTAAATACAACATTGAACGAAGTTTGTCAGTGTATTCATGGATACGTGATATACTCATACGCAATTTAATCATGATGCAACTCTTACCACTCCATCTCCAACGCTGACGACCAATGGTTTCTCCACAGGTTTATCAACTTTGTTTTCAGATATTGGCTTTGTAATAACTGTCATGGTTAATTAAATATAAGGAATAACTTCTGATCAATGCGCAGATACTTCAGACTACGCGCAATTGTAATACGGCTACGAATTCGGCTGCTGGATTGCAACTGCGTCTTCGGCGGAAATATTCTGCAAATCGATACCGCTCATAGATATACTAAACTAAGGGGATTCAATACCACACAATAATTTTTAAATTCTAAGAGAGGAGTATGAATCAGAATAATTATGCGTTTTGAAAACATAATTTTCAACAAATAATTTGAAACATACAAAAAATAAATATGGCATTGACAACTTTGAGCTTCAGAATTCGAAGCGGTAATTCAGTAGCAACCAATTCTTGTATCGATAACTTAATCATAAACATATTATTATGAATTATGCTTATTTTATTGCATTTTGTTTTCTGACGGAAACTTAAGCTCCTATTTCTAAATGTTAAAAGTGCTTTTTCATCGTCTATACCTATTGCATCCCATTATGCAAAAGGATGCCAGGCAGCCAGAGTGCAGGCAGACTTGGCCTGGAGTCTGGACGACTGCCGAACGGTACCATTCGGTAGTAGTGGACTTGCTAGTGTTACGCACAATGTTAGTCTGTTACTAACATATCTTCTACGATGTGCAATGGAACAGTGCATATAGTACTCGCATCTGATATGAACTATGCTGGCGCAAATATGTGAAACCAAGTTCTAAAATAAAGACCTGAAAATATTTACCAAATATCTTTTGGTACGAGGAGGAACCACCTTATTCGTTTTTCGTTGTTACCAAATACCAATTCATTATTCAATCGCAAAAATTTAAATGATGTAGAATGAGGGGACATTGAGCATGAATAAGCCTCAATAAGGTATAGCTAAAATTATTATGTTACCACTAATATTTGTGATTTTGAGATGCATCACACCTTAAAGTCCTTAATTATCATACGTAGTATAAATGCATTGAAAACGTATTGCTGAGTAAAAACCGCAGGAGCTTGGGCCTTGGAGCATAGTCAAGGTGAGATACCTACTTGAATAACAATCTTTCTGCATTGGTTGCTTTATCCCCCCAAAAATCAAGCTATACATCAATACACGGAGGTTCCTATTTCAGATCTTATTTGCCAATGCTGGACATTGGGCAATGTGATTTATTGTAAGTTTGTAACACTGTGACTTGTCAGACAGCTCAGACTTGACATAGGATGATAGGAACATGTATTCTCCCATGCAATAATTACCAGTTTTACCACAATACCACCTGTAAGTGGTAACAAAATTTTACAGAATAAAGATTTTACAGCAGAATAAATATCCTGCTGAGTGCTGAGTGCTGACTGAAATTCAATATGATTTGCTAGTAAAATGATTATTCTATGAAACTAATAAGGAAAGGTTATTAAAAATTCTGCATGATGATGTATCATTTTTCTTGATCATTTCTGTAGTGGTAAGGGCTGTCACTGTGTCACACTCTGAAAAATAGGCAAAAGCCACAGTGCTACACTCCACATGGAGAATTGAAACTGACAACTTTGAGTCTGAACTCAAACTGCTATTTCTTATTTCAGGCATTTGCCACAAAGGTAGACACATTAGCATCTTTTAATCAATGAATTGGCATCTTTAAGAGCTGTGAATTAGCATCTTCCTCCCATGTTTTCCCTTAATTAAAAACTTGATTTTGTTTTCTGGTGGCTTCTATCTGATTTTCTACTTTAGGCCCCCTGGCAATGTGAAAAATTTGTGTTGTACCATTCCTTTCTTAACTGTACACTTCAATGTAATTTTTTTAACTGTATTGTAACTATTGTTACTTCTACTACTTTACTGTACTGTTTTACTTTATGTAACTGTACTGTAGGACTACTTTTCTGTACTCAGCAGTCAGTACTGTATTTTTTTTTGCATCTTACAACCACAAATTTTTATTCAAGATTTTTCTTATTTCTTATTATTCAGACATCTTAACTTTTTCTTTACTTTTTGTAAACTTCAACTACTGTAATCCATGTCTCTGAAGTGGGACTGTTTATTCTGTAATGATTGTCTTTGTCTTATGTCAGATTCACATTTTCAGTGTCTGATCATTGATCATAGATATAATTTTCCTTGGTGCATAATAACTTTTGTTTTTTTGTTATTATCTAAGCCATTCTAAGGTTAACAAGATTGGGACACTATTGTTGTAGAAGCATTACTTTATCAGTATTCATGTTTGCACTGACCTTCAACAATGTTTAAATTGTGAATGCCTTAAACCTTGCCTGATTTTCATTCATGGCCAACTTGCACTTCCATGTTAATCAATCACCAATGACTACATTGGCAACCAAGAGCTCTACTTCCTGACTTTTGAAGCAACATCAGAAGCATTTTCAGGCCTTTTAACTTAATTTTGATACCTATCTCTTGAGATTTTATTTTCTTTGAAATTGAGAGGGGTTATCAAATTCCTGAATGAACTGTGAATGTCCTATCTGTCATCCTTAATATGAATATGACAGGCTATCCATGTTTTTAATGTTGATGTTGTAATGAAAGAGATTTTTTCATTCTCTGTTCTCATTTTCTTTGAAATACCGGTAGTCTAAAAACATGCCTTGGTACAGTAATTTTGGTATTGATTGTTCCTAATTTTATGGTTGTTTGCAATGTTTGTGGCTGCAGTGCACTGCATCTGAGTGTTGTGCTTGACAGACTTGTTCCTTACCTGGCATGGAGAGCATGTCCGAGCTGCACCCTCTTCTCTCCCAAATGAGGGAGCACAGGTAACCTCCAAAAATCAACTCCTTTATATGTTGTTTCAGTTTTTTGCATGCATTAGTGCCTGTTATTTTGATTTCTTAGTTTTATCCTGAAGTGAAGTTCCCTATAAGAAAGCATGAGTAGTACCTATATATTGTTTTTTACCTCTAAAAAGATATTTGCTTTTTTCTTCATATCCTATGAAGGATTGTGCTTAGCACAGTAAAATTTGTACCAAGCCTCATGAGAACTATGTGTGTTTCAGCTCTAAAATGACCATGCTTGTAATGCTGGTAGTTTTTGTTAGGAAGCAAAGTTATGCAAAATTAAGAGGAAACACACATGTTGAATTAACATGATAATTTAATACTAAAGTTGAAACTAATGTTAAACATTAAGTTAAGGTAGGGTTAACATAAAATAATTTTTTAAAAATTGGTAATGTTTATTCCTCTAACAATGATGACAAAAATTGCTCAAACTGCACCAAACAAATTTGGACAAAATCAGAAAACTCTTAATGGATTTTGATGCCAAGGAGATGTCTGTTGGTCAAATATTTTTTATTTCATTGTATTATAATAGGTCCTGTAAGACCATAGAACAAGTTGGAGGGCCTAGAAATGCATTTATAATTTATAATGGGTGTTTTTTACACCTCTAATTTGCATGGGTTGTTTTGAAGTCTGTTGATATAAATAATCCTTTTACAGGCCTTCTTGAAATTTGTTGATTATAAGGCCATATGATTGCCTGTATTATGCCTTTGATTTTTGCTCTTGGTGTACAATTGTAGAGTTTTCCTTATTAAATAAGGCACTTCTTATTTTATGTTCAGGCAAAAACTTACCTATATCATAAACCTCTTGCTTGCTCTTTTTAATTGCCTATTAAAATGTGCTTGTTAGCAATGAGTGTATTTTAAAGTTCAAGTTTTTTTATATTAATATTGTTGTGAATAATGCATTTTATGATGTAGGTATAGTTGCAACAATCACTATATTTATTTGAGAAACTCCATCATATCTTTTCATTTGTTACTATAAATTTTGACTCTCATATTGCAAAATTACAGTCTTCTATTATTAACAGAGGACAATCCTAAAAATGTCATTACTACTATGGTGATATGTTACATTTACAATTTTTTTTATTAGTGAACTGTAGATATATTTTGAGCAATGAGTGCTTAAATTTTTTAATACAGATGATGTGCTTAGGTTGGATAAGTTGTTGGTAATATGTCATGGAGTGTATTATTTCAACCAGAAAACATATTCAGAACTGTCATTCAAAACCTTAGTCTGCTGATACAGTGACAATCCTCTTTGCTATTTGAGTCTAACATAGCTTCTGGCTCCAGGAGTTACTGTTGCTAGACAAATATTTGAGATATGAATCCTCTGAGCAGTGCTTTCCAAACAAATGTAAGCATGCCACTACGGATAGTGGTGATGTATTGCTAGTGGTTGGTGAAAGAACATTTCTGAGGTCATTAACCTCTTTTTTCCTGGTGTTTTTTGTGCTACAAAAATTCCTACAGCTTGNTCATAATGGGACAACTATTAGTGCATTAAATGAGATGCGATGCATTTAAAATTTACAATATATTATAGGCTGTTCAGAAAATATAAGGTAGGTACACAGCAACTGCATGCAACTTACAAGTGGTATTTCTTCTAAAAAATGTTGTAAACTACAGCCTTTGATGGCTGAGAATTATAGACTATATATTGATAATACATATAATAATAATAGAAAATTCTGGCATGGCAGGGAGATGACGGGCGGTGCAGGCAGTGATGCCGGCTGCAGGTCCTCCTTGCTGTTGGGAAGTGGATCCTCTGGAGGGCGTGGCTCCTCTCAGGGCAAAGGCTCGGGAGGACGTGGTGCTAATAAAGGTGATACCACTATATATTTCACCAAAATCTACATAACTACTACATACCGTATTTCACCAAAATCTATATAACCACTATACATTTCACCAAAATCTATATAACTACTACATATTTCACCAAAATTTATATAACCACTATATTATATTTCACCAAAATCTATATAACCACTGTATATTTCACCTTATATTTAAGTGATATCATTTCCTATCTAAGGATCTTTTGAACTCAATAGGTACTCCACCATTGCCATGATAAAGACCACCATTAAATCTTATTAAAGACCACCATGATAAAGACCACCATTACCATGATATATACTTGCTGCATCATAGTACTGGAGATGTGGCATGAGCAACCTTACTTATCATAAGCTGTGCAGTGCTTGATGTGTGGTACTGATGGTTCATGTGCTTATCTTATTGATGCTGTGGCTTTCCTGGTGTCTGAACATTTCACACAATTTTCAGTATCAGACTATAATGTTATTCAAATTTTCTAACAACTAATGCAAACTTATATAGAGGTCAGTGCTAATTTATTCATTTCAAGGATTTTTCATAATAATGAATTAATTTTATTTCTGTAGGTGTGAGCAGTGGAGGAAGCAAGAAGAAGGCAGGCTGGGAGGATGCAGAACTTGAGTTCTACAAGGAGGCGTACCCTATGCCCCCACANTCACCGTGCCACACGTTTGTTAACCGTGCTCACGTCATGTTCACCATGCTCACGTCATGTTCACCTTGCCCGCGTCATGTTCACCGTGATCACGTCATGTTCACCGTGCCACACGTCATGTTCACCGTGCCACACGTCATATTCACCATGCCACACGTCATGTTCACCGTGCTCACATCATGTTCACCGTGCTCACATGTTCACCGTGCTCACGTCATGTTCGCCGTGCTCACATGTTCACCGTGCTCACGTCATGTTCACCGTGCTCACGACATGTTCACCGTGCCACACGTCATGTTCACCGTTCCCGCGTCATGTTCACCGTGCTCACGCGTCATGTTCACCGTGCTCACGCGTCATGTTCACCGTGCTCACGCGTCATGTTCACCGTGCTCACGCGTCATGTTCAACATGCTCACGCCTCATGTTTACCATGTTCACGCGTCATGTTCACCATGCTCACGCTTCATGTTCATTGTGCTCACGCGCCATGTTCACCGTGCTCACACGTTATGTTCATCATGCTCACGCGTCATGTTCGCCGTGCTCACGCGTCATGTTCGCTGTGCTCACGCGTCATGTTCACCGTGCTCACGCGTCATGTTCACCGTGCTCACGCGTCATGTTCACCGTGCTCACGCGTCATGTTCGCCGTGCTCACACGTCATGTTCACCGTGACGCGCGTCATGTTCGCCGTGCTCACGCGTCATGTTCACCGTGACGCGCGTCATGTTCGCCGTGCTCACGCGTCATGTTCATCGTGACACGCGTCATGTTCACCGTGCTCGTGCGTCATGTTCATCGTGCTCGCGCGTCATGTTCATCGTGCTCACACGTCATGTTCATCGTGCTCGCGCGTCATGTTCACCGTGACGCGCGTCATGTTCGCCGTGCTCACGCGTCATGTTCATCGTGACACGCGTCATGTTCACCGTGCTCGTGCGTCATGTTCATCGTGCTCGCGCGTCATGTTCATCGTGCTCACACGTCATGTTCATCGTGCTCGCGCGTCATGTTCACCGTGACGCGCGTCATGTTCGCCGTGCTCACGCGTCATNCTCTTGTCACTTGCACCGTGCTCACGTCATGTTCACTGTTCTCGTGTCACTTGCACCGTGCTCACGTCATGTTCACTGTTCTCTTTTCACTTGCACCGTGCTCACGTCATGTTCACTGTTCTCGTGTCACTTGCACCGTGCTCACGTCATGTTCACTGTTCTCTTTTCACTTGCACCGTGCTCACGTCATGTTCACTGTTCTCGTGTCACTTGCACCGTGCTCACGTCATGTTCACGATGCTCACGCGTCATGTTCACCTCGCTCGTGTCACTTGCACCGTGACACTTGTCGCGTGTAATCGAGCTGCAGGCGTTTGTGATGGAGCGCAGCAGCTTATATGTATTTTCTTGGCTCCACCGTACACTTGAGTCGCCACCTTGCTGAGATCAATCAGTGATGGGTGAGGATAGATACGATATTTCCTTAACAAAATTTAATATGAATATTCTAGATGCATCAAGGCATCTGTTGAGTTCTTGTGTTCTATGTGGCCTAAATAGGTTGGCTTTGTACCAGTATTATTTTGTCTTTGCGTCAGCGATGTTATTACTGGTCAGAAATTGCTAGTTATTTGTTAAAGTTACGTGTTGATTTATAACTGAGGCCCTAATGGGTGATTAGCGGTAGATTTTTAAACATTAAACAACTTATTATAATCTGAGTTGGCGATCTCGACTTTTTTCGGCATGAAGCCTCCGTGAGTATACTATAGATACTGTAAATCCTTTCATCACATTCACGTTCCTGCAATCATGAAAATTTTAGAACTAAAGTAATGCATCATGTGAATTCCCTAACAAAGAGTTCAATAATTCGGTGCTTAAAATGTATGCCTCATTTATCCTGTGCTTACAAATAGAGAGAAAACTTTACTTTGTTATTTTAATGCGTAATGTTCATTGACATCAGTTATCGGACTCCATTATTTATGCATAGTATAGTTCCCTCAAATTACATCAAATATGTTCATAATGCCTGCTAATTACCAATCATGTGTTTTTGCAGTGCACTCGCCATTCCATATCGCTTCTTTGGTAATTAATTCATTTTATTGCGTTATATAAGTTCATACGATCATGATTCTCAGAGGCACAGATGTCCCAGGATTCTCTCTTGATGCATATTTTTTTATTCGACCTTTCGTCTCTATCATGTACGAAATGAGACACAGATGCACCCCGGTTCGCTCTTTGAATGCATCCCTTATTATTCGACCTCAAACCCTATTAAAATTTATGCCGTGGTATTGCTGGCTCAGCGTCGGTCACTTAAAACCGCCTTCTTTTAGCCCTAAGCCAGTACGCTCAGCTGTTATGCCTCCTGAAACTGATCTGTCAGTGATGCTCTGTCTGTCGTGATGGTACGAGAACGATGCTCGTTCCTCTGTGCCCCAGTGGTTTGACTTTGAAAATATATATTAAAATCTCTGTGGATCTCTTTCTGATTAAGTGTTAATACGTTTACCTACTCGTGAAGTTCTTAAACCCTGATAATGAAATGTTGCATGGTGGACAAATTATCTGCTTAAGAATCATTTGTCACGATTTGAGTACTGAACATTACCAGTACTGGCGGTTGGACGCATTAGAATTCAAGGAAACTTACTGAATATCAGAGGCTTGCTTCCAAACCCTGGACCTATGCACAGCCGTCCTGCTCTGAATAAAATCAGTGGAATTATTTCCTTGAAATACGTTCTTTTGAACATGAGATGTGCATGTGAACAAGTGATGTGTATGTGATCGTGTGATGTGCATGTGATCGTGTGATGTGTATGTGAACATGTGATGTGTATGTGAACAAGTGATGTGTAACAAGTGATGTGTATGTGAACAAGTGATGTGTATGTGATCGTCTGATGTGCCTGTAAACAAGTGATGTGCATGTGAACAAGTGATGTGCATGTGAACACTGATGTGTATGTGATCGTTAGATGTTCACATGGTCATGTGATGTGCATGTGACCAAGTGATGTATCTGTGATCTTGTGATGTTCATAAGGTCATATGATGTGTCCTGACTATTATGTGTGTCCTGAGCGAGAACGTATCCAAAGCATGGTCGAGTGTTGCCACTCAATCATTATTGTTTAAACTTTTCTACACCGTTACTACTTTACGACATCAATGAAAGTTTACGATTAGGATTTACGTTGCTTTGGACGGCAGCAATGAAGTCGGCCACTCTTTCGCTTATTCAATTATGTTCTTATATAATTAAATATATCTATTGAAGATGTCATGTAATTCTCAACGCTTCGGCGACCGTTTTTTTGTGATGCTTGGCTATAAATAGCTGTATAGATAATTGACATAATGGCTTAGAGCGATTCAAAAGAATCATGAAGCATATTATCCAAAAAATACACTCATTTTAATGGTATGTTTTTGCGCAATTTTATTATTGAGTTTTATTATCATTAGTACATGTAGGTCTAGTTCTCTAGTTCACGCAACGAATGAAGTACAAAGCTCATGGGAGGCCCGTTTGAGGCCGAGTCAAGTTGTCACTTGCTCTATAGGTCTTGATTTGGAGTTAGCGAATTTATAGCATTCCGTATACTAAGTTATTTCCACTAAGATGTAGGTAGTTGTCTCGTTAATAATTGTAACAATTTCTCTGTGCGTGAAATTTCAACGAAGATCCAAAGAAGTATAACACCAAGGTCTCCCGCATCGATGTATTGTGAACGTTGGAACGATCACAGCTATACGCCGATGATTCTCAATTAGCGTAATTGTGAATCATTGGCGTATAGCTTCAATTTCAATTGTTTGTTATGGTACGCTGATCTTGAAATTGGTGAAACCAAGTAATTTGCTCTATAATTTTCATTAATTTAGGTAACTAATCATGAATTTGGCTTGCGTTCCTATGTAGGAACTGCATGTCGTGCAACAGTACTTCGATGTGCGGCAACTCCCACAACGTTTCTAAGTTAAACTCAACTACTGGCCAGACTAGAGCTGAGGTCTTTACCCGTACTTGGCTATTTATAAACAGACTTGTATTTATATGCTGGTGGGGAGATGTCCTGCTCCAAAGTTCTGACAGGAGTTTATTTGACCAAACGCAATCGAAGAAATATACAGGGAACGAATGAGAAGTGAGAAGTAGTTTATTTTACCTATTGCATTCGGGCAAAATGCAAAGAGAACGAATAACGAAAGAGAAGTGAGAAGTAGTTTATTTGAATACGTTATTCAGAAATACGTTCGAAAAGAACAAATAACGAATGTGAAGGAAGAAGGCCTTCCTTGTGAAGCTTAACAGGCGAGGGTAACTGTGAAGCTTAGAGGGCAAACGTAACTACATGGATGTGCAATGATAGGTGCCGGTGCCGTCCGTTAAATACGTAGTAATTGGATTGTGTTGAGTTAATCGAGGATTACGTGTAAAAAGCTTTTTCAGCAATCATATCCTTAGCAATTTGCTCTCTGAACATCTTTATATTCTGTAAGAATTTTATTTATTAAGTTATTTCAATGTGCAAACTAAAAATTGTTTTCTCTCATTTCACGAATTTTCTACAATTCAAGTATTATTGAACAGCTAGCAATTGAAAGTCATTGATATTATATTATATATATATTTGTTTGATGTATATTTTTATGCTGTTAAAGTGGAATAGCAGGAACACTCTAACGATAGTTATCTCAGATGCCCTGTTAAATTAGGGTTGCTTTTTATATTGATCGTGCTAGTGAAGAGTCCACTTATACTGAGAACACTAGTATTGTATTGAAGATAGAAAAGAACGTTGCTATTAGTGACTATACTGAGGACACTAGTATTTTCTTGAAGACAGAAAATAACGTTGCTGTTAGTGACTATACTGAGGACACTACTCACACTAGTATTGTCCTGAAGACACAAATAACGTTGCTGTTAGTGGAGGATGCTGCGAGTCCGAGGCTCGGAAGGCGACGAGGTCGTCCT